GGTTTCCAACACAATCTCAAGCAATTCGTAACTTTTCATTTAGTGGCTAATTCGTACAAATTCGTACGATCTAATTCGTACATTTTAGTAGGATTTGCTCATCCCCCAATGACGGTTGGGTTTAGGGGTGGGGTTAGGTGCCAAGCCTCCTTTTTAAAATCGTACAATTTCTTATGACTGAACTCGTATTAGCCGCTAAACTGCCAAAACAAATACTTACGTTTTCTCGTGAGATCAGGCTGTGGTTTCTATGAAAATGAACAGTGTCATCTGAGAACATGTTCAAGATGGAGGGAATTTAATTTTTTATCAACAACACTTGAAGAAAAATCAAGGTAAATATTGCTTGATAAGGAAATACATTTATTATACCTCATTTCCAAACATGTTGTACCTTTAAAGATGTTTTTAAAAGCCAAACAAAATTAAGGTAAATAAGTGTGTTTTGTATACATGAAAGGCTAGACTCAATTTAAAGCTAATCGCTGAAGCTATTTTTATTTTTTTCACAATAAACTGTACAAATGTCATTTCCACCACTGTCATTTCCATCACCACACACATTTAAAAAAAAATGTAAAAAGTTCTCATCACACATTAAAAGTGTATTCACAATGTATAGGTTCATGCTCTATTTAATTTACAAATTCAGTTTATTTATTTTCTAATAAGCTCCTAAATAAATGAATATTACATTTTAGAGTGTGACAGGTGAACAATTCAGCAAACAAATAGTTTATTTTATTGACAAATGTAAAATTATAATATATATATATATATATATATATATATATATAGTGGAAAGATTGGTTAAACTAGATACAAAAATTATCTTAGACAATGTTTGTCTGCCATCATTTATTTCATTTTAAAATTAAAGCTGTATATTGAGATGTGGTGGAATTGACATTTGTTCAGTTCACGATGGAAAAAAATGTTTCTCTTCTTATCAAAGTTTGACCTCTTACAGATCTTAAAACTAGACAAATTGTTTAGACTTATGAGGCTATGTTACATTAAATTTGAACAAGTTTTTTTTTACTCAACTTCACAAGGCTAAAAGTGCCCATAGTTAGGGTTAGGGTGCATAAATTACTAAAGTGTTTTTTGAGCACAGCATCAGAATTAACGATATTGCATCTTAACATGTACTTCTCGAGGTATGGTCACGAGAAATCCTGCTTCCATCAAACAAATTTCTCATGTTAGTGATGTCACCGATTGGAGAGAGAGGTGACAGTTTGTTGTGGACAACCAAAAAACAGGAAAGAGTAGAAATGTTAATTTTCGACATCATATGGATTTACTTTCATCGGCTAGACACCGGCCTCACTGCTTTGTGAATGTCAGTATCTTCACTTATTGATCCATGATTGGTAAATGTAGCTTGTGTGGAGGCTACTGCGCTACTTGAAAAATTGGCTTCGCTACTGAAAAGCTATTTGATTTAGAACGTAGCGACGCTACCGACACGCTACTTTAAAATGTAGTTAAGCTGGTAGCGTCACTACTTGTAGCGGCGCTACTGCCCAACACTTGACTTTACCCCTTCCAAACTTTACCCTTCACCTTTAGTGTGTAATGAGTGTGTGAGCATACTAATGTTATGCTTAAAAGAGCATTTTGTTTTATGTTTCAACACAGGCTCATTGTGGATGTGTACCCCTGTCTACATTTTAGGGGAGCACAAATTATGTAGCCAGAGGTAGCTGCATTTCGTCTTTAAAACGAAAGCTACGGGGCGATATGACGCCGCCGACGGCTTCTGTTCATTTTAATGCTACCAGCTGACCGCTTATCTCTGTAAGAACGGCATTTCTGGTGTAACCAGTTTGCCCTGTAACTCGCCATGTACGTTGGCGGACTGTGGACACGGTCTGGAGAAGAATAATTCCAGAAACCAGGTAAAACAAAAGCAAAAAATAAATGAATAAATAAGTAAATGAATAAAAGGCAGGCTGAAAACGTGGTGAAAACATGTCCATTATGGATTGTATTTTTCTAGATTACTTTTGAAAACACTCGGTTGGGTTCTTAAGTGGATGAGTCAGTCGGTCAGTCATTCAGTCAACAAAGCAAGCTGGCCCGGTCGGCTGAAGTGTATATTGCACCCTCTGGTGAATTCATATGAGAAGGAGGAAATTTGTGATCATCAAAAAGCATACACAGCGGCCTCTGGTGGATTTACAAAAACTGCAAGCCAATGTACCTCTGGTTATGTATTTTGCTGTCCCCAGAAATGTAGACCTGGATACGTATTCATGAGCCTGGGTTGGGAAAGTGTCTGAGTTTTTCTAACACTGAAAGAATTACATTAGAGGGAAAATCTGATCTCATTGGTCGTTAATTGGCTGTCTATGAACATGACCAAAACGATCCAACAAACCAACGATCAAAAATCTCAGATTTTAGCCAAGGATTACAGAAATATTTTAGCTTTTCCAAAATTTGTCTCAGGCGACCAAATTGTGGCTGAAATCCCACAGTGTGAGCAGGGCTTTAGTTAGTTTAGTTGTGTTTGGTCAGGGTTGGAGCTGACCTCTGCAGGGGCCTCATGTACGAAGACTTGCGTGGAAATCTTACTAAAGCATTGCGTACGCACAAAGCTGTAAATGTGCGTACGCATAAAAAAATTCAGTTGTATGAAACACTGCGTACGCCGAATCTCACGCATATTCTTTTGTACATCCGAATGAACGTGAAACTGAGCGCAACATGCACGAGCACAAAACCCCTCCCTGCCTCCTCCCCCGTATGAATATGCTAATGACTATGCTAATGGCAAAACCCAACGAAAAAGCAAAGGCAAAAGCAAGCAAAAAGAAACTTTGAACAGAATGTGAAATGGAGGTGCTGCTTTCGGAGGTAGACCGGAGAAAAGCGGTGTTATTTGCAAGTTTGTTCTCCGGAATTAACAACAAAAGAAAAAAAATAGTGGGAGAGTTTAGCTGATGCGGTTAACACAGTTGGGTCTGAACATCGCACTGAGTGAATTAAAAAAAAGAAATAGTGTGGTTTATATCTGTAAAATGTTGCAGTACCCTTAGCAGTCTCAGTGGCACACCTCGAAAGACGCATGTGATCATGTATTGACACGTTCGAGCATGAACTTGGCTCGAATCCAGTGTCTGATGGACTCTTTCTTCTTTTTTCCCCCCGCTACATATCAGATTTTGCCTACTATTAATCACGAGAAAGACAAGTAGGAATCATCAATAAGTTTGTGCATCATATTTTATTTGCACATTTATTGGATGGAAATGTTTCTGATTCACGCATGCAAATTCATCTTCAGATAGTGTCTTTATAGCAATGTGCGTGCGATAGATGGCTCAGATTACATTGGGAAAACAGGCGACTGCTGCAAATTGTGCTTTAATGTTTAGCTGGTCAACTGTATGGTATGGAAACCTTACATACCTACTAGATGAACCCCTCTCATACAGCTGCCATTACACGGCTTTGTAGAGTGCAATTTAACACAACTGCCTCTAGGAGTCGCCAATGGAAATAAAACAGACACGCACAAAAAATGTGCGTACGCCAGCCAGAAAGCTGCCGTGAAGCTGCGCACATTCCCACGTTCAGTTCATCGTTAGTAAATCCAAACGTGAGCGATTCTGAGCGTGAAACCTGGCGTACGCAAAGTTTTTGTGCGTACGCAGCGTTGATACATGAGGCCCCAGGACTGTAGATCTCCAGAAACCGGGTTGAGCACCCCTACTTTAAGCTCTATTTTTTTTTTTTTTTTTGCAAACATACAGTTATTTTCTCAGAATGTCAAAAATTGTTTTGAAATTGTGCACAAAGCAATCCACAGATCTCCTCGGCTCCACGTTTAACTGACAGCTACAAATTCAATTCCTTTATTATAGCCTGCTCGGTAGCTTTTCATAAGGAGATGGGTCTTTGATGATGAGCAATTGCTTTAGCTTTAATGATATGCTGTCTGAGCCCCACTTCAGTTAACTTCCTATCCAAGATACGAACAAAACGATGAATTAGCTGTGCTTGTTGCTTTCAATTTGAGAAGTCAGCTTTGACACAGCTCACACATGCACAGAGGAAAGTAGAGAGCACCTGACAGTTTATGCTATTGTTTGATGACTGCCAGAGGTGGCTTTTGCTTCACATTTAAAATGGATTTCATCTCCTGGAATGAATTATCAAAGGCTGAGGGGAGGATTAATAAATCATGGAGCTGTTTCTCTCTGCAGTGATATGATTTTTCTTCTTCTTCTTCTTCTTAATCCACCTTTATTCCCCAAAGCCAAGCTCATTGGGTATACACTCACCAGCCACTTTATTGAGTACACCTTACTATTACCAGTATGGACCCCTTTTTGGCTTCAGAACTGCCTTAATCCCTCGTGGCAGAGATTCAACAAGGTACTGGAAATATTCCTCAGATATTTTGCTACATATTGACATGATAGCATCACGCAGTTGCTGCAGATTTGTCAGCTGCACATCCATATTGTGAATCTCCCATTCATCCACATTCCAAAGACGCTTTATTGGATTGAGTTCTGGTGACTGTGGAGGCCATTTGAGTACAGTGAACTCATTGTCACGCTCAAGAAACCAGTCTGAGGTTATATGGTTTATGACATTGTGTTTTATCTTGCTGAAAGTAGCTATCAGCAGATGGGTACACTGTGTTCATAAAGGGATAGACATGGTGAGCAACAATACTCGGGTAGGCTGTGGCGTTGACATGATGCTCAATTGATACTAATGTGCCCAAGAAAATATCCCCCACACCATTACACCACCACCCCCAGCCTAACCTGTTGTTACAAGGCAGGATGGGATCTATGCTTTCATGTTTTGATGCCAAATTCTGACCCTACCAGAAATTGAGACTCATCAGACCAGGCAACATTTTTCCAATCTTCTACTGTTCAATTTTGGTGAGCCTGTGTGAATTGTAGCCTCAGTTTCCTGTTCTTAGCTGACAGGAGTGGCACCAAGTGTGGTTTTCTGCTGCTGTATGTAGCCCTTGATAAATCTGATTAATAAATAAAGAAGACAACAATCAGGGAAGAGAGCAAGTTATGTTTATTATTTTTTTGTAAATATGTTTTGATTATTATTTTCTCTTCATTTTGATTTATTCTTGGTGTTCTAGTAAAAGAAACATGTATACATATACTTAAGCTTTAAAGAACTGTTAAGCATGTGTGTATGTACTTGCATTGGTGCAGGAAATTAATGTAAAATGAGGGAGGAACAAAAAAAAAAAGGAGAGAGAGAGAGCGGAGAAAAAAAAGAGAGACTCTCGTGGGGTCGGAAGTGAGGAGCGCAGGAGTGGACGAGCAAAAGCGGAGTTTTGTTTTAATCCCGACGAAAAAGGAGTGTTCAAAAAGAAACGTGTGCGAAGGATTGTGATGTGGTCTATTTTCCCCGCCAAGAGCGGAGAGTGAAGTGACTCGTGAATTAGTTTCATCACGTCGACTGGAAGGACACAAGTTTCCGTGCGCCTGGCCGACTCGGGGAAAAAAAAGAGAAAGCTTTTCTGGATTCGGTTGTTCGAGCGAATGTGTGGGGATTAACCTTCATCACGTTTCGCCCACCGTGAACATATCAACAAAGGATATGTGAGTACAGTGCCACCGAGATCTGTTGACAAAACTGAATCGTTCAAAGGAAAAGGGCAACAACGGTTTCGCGCATTCTTTGCGTCCTTTCAAAGACTGAGTTTGGATTTTCAGTACCTGTATTTGCATGATGAATAATCAGTGGTGTGTTTAAACGGACACTGGTTTGAGAATTAACGTTTGTAACGAGTGTATTGATTAACGTTGATTCAGTTCAAATGTAATGAATCGTCAAGTGTGGCGAGTCAAATGAGTCAGTTCAAGAGTCACTGAATGTTTTGAAGGTTTATTTGTGAGTTTGACTAAGTACCACTGTCGGGGTTAAGAGTTACTTATTAGAATTTCTATTTTCAAAGATAGCATATTAGTTTGGATTAAGAGAGAGAGAGATTCACAATTTATTTGTTAGTTTTATTTATATATGGGGATGCTTTGAGAAGTGTCATGTGAATCTTTAAACACTCTAATTTTCTGTTGGGTAAATTTGTGGGTTAGTACTTATAATTCTGTCACTTTATTAGTTTGGTTTCATATTTATATACTTTGTATTTACACACTCAATTGAGCTTAATTTTGTTTATTTATCTATTCATTTTATTTATATTTTTATTTTTTTTTTATAAACCTGAAGGTTAGATAGCACTTTTATTGTCAGGGTTCTTTATACTTCTCAATTTGGGAAGTATAGGTTTCTACAATTGGAGGCACCGCGCTAAATAAAAGCTCATTGTTGTACATCCTGGTATATTTTTTTTTGGGAAAAGACCAGTTATTACATATTACTACCGCTGGGATACCAGGGCTCCTATATAGTTTTGTTTGTACCCAGCTAGGGAGGGCTAAAATTGGAGGCACCGCTGGGATACTCTTTTCCCCTGTGTTTAAATTTTTTGTTAGTTAGATGGAACATGGACCTTTTGCAGGTTGTGGAGTTGTGGAGTCAACAGATAAATCTCGATCCTGGTAAATATTTTATTTTGACCAAAGTGCCAATTGATGTGAGCGAGGATATAATTTCAGAAGTGTTAAACACAGTAAAAGTGTTTGGATGTGCTAAAATACGGGGCCGTCGTGGGGACAACACTGGTTCGCAGATGTTTGTGTTAGTGGAGACCAGTTTGGAGATTGACACTGACACTGTTCCACCTGAAGTGGGTATTCCTGGTGAGGTGGGACCATGGGGAGTACATGTCCCATCCGTGGAAGTTGTTCCCGAGGGGGTTGTACCAGATGGGGATTTTCAAGAGAAATTAATTAGTTGGCTGAGTCAGGAGGGTAAGTCTTTAGAAGACGTGAAGCCGATTCTCAGTACTGACAAGATGTCTAATGTAGGTGGAGACTTGGTACAGGCTCTTGATCGGCTGGTAGAAAGGTGTAACCAGGCACCTGTTGAGTCTCTGAGTTATCGCAAATTGCGGGTGTTTTCTGGCCAACAACCTATTCCCCCTGGGGAGGAGGATTATGACTCCTGGATGGAACAGGCCACCCAAATGGTTAGTGAGTGGCAGTGTACAGAGTCTAGCAAAAAACAACGAATTGTGGAAAGCTTGAGGGGGTCAGCAGCTGACATCATTCGATTTGTGAAAATGGGTAGTTCAGATGTCACTGCCATGGACTATTTAAAGGCTTTAGACACAGCTTATGGCAGTACAGAAAGTGAGACTGACCTAACTGTGAAGTTCAGTTGTACGTACCAAGAGCCAGGCGAGAAGCTCTCAAGTTATTTGTATCGGCTGGATAAGATCCTCCATCGACTCTTTTTGAAAGGGGGTATTAGATTAGAAGATCTGAATCGAAAACGGATGGAACAGGTTGTTAAAGGTGCACTCACCTCTGATCCAGTAGCTCTGAGACTCAGAATGATGTCTAGTTTACGTGATCCACCTGGGTTTTCGCAGCTACTACGTGAGGTTAGAGAGGAGGAAAATTGGATCAGTGCCCGGAGCAGTGCTAATCCTGTAGTAAGTTCAAAACCTGCTGTAGTTGTGCCTAGGGGGGCTGCCTCGGAGGAAATAGAGTGCTTGAAAAGAGACGTGAAGGAATTAACCACACAAGTAGGGAAGTTGTTGAAAACTGTAACGTCTTCTCCTACAGTGGATGAAACTTCACAGGTCCATTGTATGGGCCCCGCAAAGGCTTCTGGTTTTTCTGCCTTGGCCGCAAACAAGGGGTCCAATACTGTTTCTAGAGTTGGGATTTTCTGTTATAAGTGTGGCGAAGATGGTCATACTAGAAGGGAATGTCAAGGGGTAGAGGATCTGCGCAAGGTAAACCAGAAACTGATTAGACAGAGTAGGCAGTCGGGAAACTACGGTGGAACTCTGTGAAGGAACGGCCCAGAGTTCCAATTTCAAATCGTTCCGATTGTTTTTCTTTTATGAGTACAGATGATTTTGGACTTCCAGTCGGGCTGATAGGACCCTCTTTAGATGTTCCTGTACAAATTGAAGGGATTTATGCTCGGGCCCTGTTGGACAGTGGTTCACAGGTGACCATCTTGTATCGTAGTTTTTATCAAACTTATTTGAAGCACTTACCAGTTCAACCAGTTAAAGATTTGGAAATCTGGGGTTTAAGCTTGCAGAAGTATCCATATGATGGATATTTGCCTCTTCGTCTGGAGTTCACAGCTGCTGTAGCTGGAGTGCCTCAGGTGGTTGATACTCTTGCACTTGTCTGTCCAGATCCTCAACCTGCACAGAAGGTAGCCCTTTTGGTGGGCTACAAATACTGTTCGACAGCTTTTTGAAACATGTAAGGCAGAAGCAGGAGATAATTTTATGAGTGTTCTCTCCGTGCATCCGGTGGTGCGAGATGCATATGAGAAAATCCAAGAAGTGGAGATTGGAGAGGAAATTTGTGGTCCGCAGGGTACCATTTGGTTTCATCAGTGCCGGTCAGTATCACTGGAACCTGGGGAAACTGGTCAACTAGAGGGAAGGCCTACATTTCCTTATGATTTAGAAGACGAACATGTGTTAATTGATCAGCCTGTTGATACTATGGATCTGGGAGCTTTGATGGTTAGACCTGAGGTACGACCCATTTCTATGATGCGAAATCACTTAGTGACAGTTACAGTTAAGAATATGTCTGATCATAGCATTAATGTGACCCGAGGCACCCCAATTGCTCAGGTATTCCCTGTAGATGTGGTATCCCCGATTATCGCTGAGAGAGAAGTGACAGATTCAAACCAAATCACTATGGACTCTTTCAACTTTGGAGATTCTCCACTTTCATCGGAGGCCCGGCGTCAGCTATGTGAGAAACTTCTAGAGCGGAAAGATGTGTTTTCTTCTCATGAATGGGACGTAGGTTGTTCACGCAGTACACTTCATGAAATCAGGTTGACCGATTCCACCCCTTTTAGGGAGAGATCTCGGCGTTTGGCCCCCAAGGACTTGGAAGATGTGCGGAAACACTTATTTGAATTAAAACAGTGTGGAATAATTTCAGAGTCTAGGAGTCCTTATGCATCCCCTATTGTGGTCGTAAGAAAAAAATCAGGAAGTGTTCGAATGTGTGTAGATTACCGCACCTTAAATCGCAGAACTATTCCTGATCAGTATACTGTGCCTCGGATTGAGGATGCTTTGCACAGCCTCTCAGGTAGCCAGTGGTTTACTGTGTTAGACTTAAGGAGTGGGTATTACCAGATACCGATGAACCCTGTTGACAAAGAGAAAACAGCATTCATTTGTCCTCTTGGGTTCTATGAGTTTGACCGAATGCCTCAGGGCATCTGTGGTGCACCGGCTACCTTTCAGCGACTCATGGAACGCGCTGTGGGTGACATGAATTTCCTGGAGGTGTTAGTGTATCTGGATGATCTGATAGTGTTCGGTCGAACCATAGAAGAGCATCATGAGAGGTTGTTAAAAGTGTTGGATAGGCTGCGTGAGGAGGGACTGAAACTGTCTGTGGACAAATGTCAATTCTGTCGAACCTCTGTAACTTATGTAGGGCATGTGGTGTCTAAAGATGGTATTTCCACTGACCCTTCAAAGGTTGAGGCAGTTGTTAATTGGCCTAGACCTCAGACTTTGACGCAACTGCGATCATTTCTGGGATTTTGTGGCTATTACAGAAGGTTTGTGAGGGGATATTCAAGTCTTTGCCGTCCATTGAATAAATTGTTGGGTGAGGAAGTTTCACAGGAACAAGAAAAAAAACTATCCCGGAGCTTAGCGAAGGAGGTTTTTGGAGCCAGGTGGGATGAGTCATGTGAGAGTGCATTCCAGGAATTGAAGCAGAGGTTGACTCAAGCTCCAGTGCTGGCATTTGCAGATCCTCAGCAGTCATATGTTTTACATGTGGATGCTAGTTTAGATGGTTTGGGGGGTGTTCTCTATCAACCATACCCGGAGGGTCTGCGTCCTGTAGCGTTCATCAGCCGAAGTTTGTCCCCAGCTGAGAGAAATTATCCAGCTCACAAGCTGGAATTTTTAGCTTTAAAATGGGCTGTGGTAGACAGGCTGCATGAATACTTGTATGGGGTTACCTTTGAGGTGAGGACGGACAATAATCCCCTTACATACCTTCTAACATCAGCCAAATTGGATGCTGCTGGCCATCGATGGTTATCAGCCTTGTCCACTTACAGTTTCAGCATCAAGTACCGAAGTGGGAAAAAAATGTAGATGCTGATTCTCTATCGCGGCGGCCTTATTCCTCTGAGACTGAAGGAGGAAAGTGGGAAGAGATTCCTGAGACTGGGGTGCGGTCTTTGTGTCAGGCAGTTGCTTCAGGGGAGAATTCAAGTGTTAAGGAGTGCCCTTTTCAGAGTTTTTCAGAAAGTGGTGAGATTAGAGCTCCTGTAAAGAATGTGTTTGTTTCTGCAACCCAGCTGAAAGATTCCAATGAGGAGTTGTGGGAGGCTCAGGGCCAGGATCCTTATTTGAATATAATTCTCTCTGCTATAATGAAAAACCAGTCTCATGACAACGTGAAATGTGAGTTGCCCGAATTTGCTTGTTGGCGGAGAGAGTGGAGTAATTTGGCAGTGTCAAATGGATTGTTGTTTAGAGTGACCACATCCGAGGGTAAACTTAATCGACAGATAGTGCTCCCGTCTGCCCTTCAGAGTGATACGCTGGCCTCTCTGCATGATTCTCATGGCCACCTGGGTTTTGATAAAACATATGCACTCGTAAAGGACAGGTTTTATTGGCCAGGTATGAAAGATGCTGTGAAACAATACTGTAAGAGTTGCGAACGATGTCTGGTGAGAAAGACTTTGCCTCGCAAGACAGCGTCTATGCAGCACATGCAAAGCTCAGGACCGATGGATCTCGTGTGCATTGACTTTCTGTCTATTGAGCCAGACAGGCATAACGTGGGTAATGTGTTAGTTGTTACTGACCATTTTACTCGTTATGCACAGGCTTATCCTACGCGGGACCAGAAGGCCTTGACAGTAGCTAAAATCCTGTGTGAAAAGTACTTTGTGCATTATGGACTACCAAATCGGATCCATTCGGATCAAGGACCTGACTTTGAGAGTCACCTGGTGAAAGATGTGCTTGGTGTGTTAGGGGTTAAAAAGTCCCGTACCACTCCGTACCACCCTCAGGGTGATCCTCAACCAGAAAGGTTTAATCGGACACTTCTCAATATGTTGGGCACGTTAGAATCCACAAAGAAAGCTCAGTGGAGTCAGTACATTTCGCAGTTAGTACATGCATATAATTGTTCACAAAATGAGGCCACGGGTTACTCTCCATATTTTCTCATGTTTGGACGTGAGCCCACTCTGCCTGTGGATGTCTGTTATGGAACAAATGAAATGGGTGGGTCCATGTCACCTAGTGTGTATGTACAAAATTTGAGGAAGAATCTGAGAATTGCTTTTGAGTTGGCTACTGAGGTTGCTAAAAAAAAGAACCTTTCTAATAAAAGAAGGTATGATGAGAAAGTGCAGGAATGTGTCTTAAACCCTGGTGACAGGGTGCTCATCCGAAACTTGGGCTTGAGAGGGAAGCACAAATTGGCTGATCGCTGGAGTTCAGTGGTTTACTTGGTAGATAAGCGATTGGAAAATCTGCCAGTATATCAGCTGACTCCAGAAAATGGTGTTGGACCTTCTAAGGTTTTGCATAAAGATCATATTCTTCCTGTGAGCTCGAAAGTGAGGTTTGGGGAGGAGAGTAAGGTAGTCATGGTTGATGATGTGCCTAAGAAGAATAGATTCCCTAGGAGAAACTTGAGAACTTCACATAATATTGAGGTTAAAGAGAAAGGGTCATTTCAAGTTGAGGGAGAAACAGATACGGACTCAGAATCTGAATATGATTGTGCCCCCTTCCGGTATTTAGATTTTTCAATGTTTGACGGGGAGGAAATTGAGAAAGATAAAGGACCCGAAATGAACAATGATGTCGGGTTACTAACAGATAAATGTCTGGTGACACCCCAGTTGGATCAGGGTGATGGGAATTCGGTGGGTAACCTGGAAGAGGAAGCAGTTACCTCAGACCCTTTGGATGTGGATAGTAATACTGACTGTCAAGGGCAGGAAAAGGAAGTTAGTGAAAGTGTTGATACTCTGCCTGAAATTTCATTGAGGAGGTCTGAGAGGGAGCGTAAACCACCGGCAAGGTTTACCTACCCAAATTTAGGTATTCCTACTGAGGAGAGGATGGTCACAACAAAAGTGTGTGGGGTGCTCCTAAACCACATGCAAACTCCTAACCAATGTCACAAACATGACCTACATCATAATTGGTGGTGTAATTCTCATGCCCTTTGCCAGTCATGTTGGGTACACATCAGTACATTGCCATGTGTAGTCCCTAGAGTGTAAAGGGGAATTTCATGCTTAATGACATATATGTAGCATGGGGACATGCTGGTTTTCATGTGGGGAGAGAGTGTAGCCCTTGATAAATCTGATTAATAAATAAAGAAGACAACAATCAGGGAAGAGAGCAAGTTATGTTTATTATTTTTTTGTAAATATGTTTTGATTATTATTTTCTCTTCATTTTGATTTATTCTTGGTGTTCTAGTAAAAGAAACATGTATACATATACTTAAGCTTTAAAGAACTGTTAAGCATGTGTGTATGTACTTGCATTGGTGCAGGAAATTAATGTAAAATGAGGGAGGAACAAAAAAAAAAGGGAGAGAGAGAGAGCGGAGAAAAAAAAGAGAGACTCTCGTGGGGTCGGAAGTGAGGAGCGCAGGAGTGGACGAGCAAAAGCGGAGTTTTGTTTTAATCCCGACGAAAAAGGAGTGTTCAAAAAGAAACGTGTGCGAAGGATTGTGATGTGGTCTATTTTCCCCGCCAAGAGCGGAGAGTGAAGTGACTCGTGAATTAGTTTCATCACGTCGACTGGAAGGACACAAGTTTCCGTGCGCCTGGCCGACTCGGGGAAAAAAAAGAGAAAGCTTTTCTGGATTCGGTTGTTAGAGCGAATGTGTGGGGATTAACCTTCATCACGTTTCGCCCACCGTGAACATATCAACAAAGGATATGTGAGTACAGTGCCACCGAGATCTGTTGACAAAACTGAATCGTTCAAAGGAAAAGGGCAACAACGGTTTCGCGCATTCTTTGCGTCCTTTCAAAGACTGAGTTTGGATTTTCAGTACCTGTATTTGCATGATGAATAATCAGTGGTGTGTTTAAACGGACACTGGTTTGAGAATTAACGTTTGTAACGAGTGTATTGATTAACGTTGATTCAGTTCAAATGTAATGAATCGTC